AGGGAAAACTTCGGAGGAGGTTCTACGATAGAAAAGTTTCGGAGAAGGGCCTGAAACAGGAAAAAGTTCCGAAGGGTTTGATGTAGGAAGAAATTTCAAAGGAAAGCCTGCTGCAGGAAAAAAGATTCCAGAGAAGGATCTGTTGCATAAAAAGCTTTGGAGAAGGGTCCGTGTCAGTTAAAAACTCTGGAGAGGTGTCTGATGCAGAAAAATGCTTTGAAGGAGGGTCTACTGTAAGAAATATTCAGGTGGAGGGTCTTATGTAGGAAAAGCTACGAAAGAGGGTCTGCTGCAAGTGGAGTCTCGCAAATACGATACTTCCGACTGCAGCATTGGGAGACTGATCTGAGTGTCTAAAAACTTCTCCATACCCTGCATTTGCACCATAACTAGTAGAAACATGCCCAATCCTCGAAAATCCTTAGTTTAATTCTTGCAACCCTTCTCACCAAGGGTGACCAGTAGAAGCTTCAAGGTTTGGCTGCCAGAGCAACAAGGCCACTTCATTTTCTACTGAATCTTTACTAGTTAAGAGTTTATGTACGACATACGACATCACTAACTTTAATGACATTAACTGCTTACTTGGTAACCTCAATGGCCTTTAAATGAGCTGACCTTGGACTAGTTTGCATATACACCCAAAAAGAAATTTTAGGTTTGAGAATAGAAACATTCTGGTAAAATCCAAAGAGAATAGCCCACAATCCCTTGATGATAAAATTGATAAGGAAGAAAATTTTTTTGGGTTGTCTAGCCATATTTTGGAAGTCTAAGTTGTATGCAAATAATTTGTACGGGCGCAATGAGAGAGGTAAAACAATATCAAGAGCACAATGTGTAGTATAAACATCGCTGCCACTCATCTAATTCATTAATCTCATTCCACCACTGTAATCCAACCCAAGCGATCGCTCCCGTCAATTCCAACGCAGCTTCGGCCTCGACAGCCCACCCATCACACTCTCCATCAACATTTCTTCTCCTGATTCCCTTCTAGGGTACAAACCACAAAAATCCTGTGGAAGAAAGATAGAAAAATTGTGAAGAAAGAATTCGAGAGATAGGGTTAGGGACTGCATGGAGGAGAACGGAAGGAATGAAGGATTCATGGTGGCGAAGGGCTAGACTATAGTTTCTTGCACTATCGGATTCTGTGGAGGAATTTGTCGACTTTTAAAACAAGCAACAGAGCCTCCTTCACCTTTTTGAAATCCCGCATCAGGTCGGCGGTGGTGGAGATGATGGACATAATGACACCGCATGCGGCTAGGTCGACGATGACGCCGCCTTTAGGGCTAACGAGGGTAGAGAAGGTGAGGAAGAAAAAATTGCTGTTTCAAATATCAAGACAAGTGCCCCTCCCTTCTCGCACGAAGGATGGCAGGAAGGGAGTCTGGCGGTTCTGGAAGGAGCGACAACTAGGGTAGGGAATTTAGCTCTGATATTCAGAATAATACAGAATAAAACAGAATTAAATAGGGGTATTTTCATTGATAGGAAGGGGGTATAATTAACCATTTACATGTATTTTAAAATAAGAAAGACAAAAAAAATGGAATAATGTGAAAGGAAAGATATATCACCTAATATCTCTAATAATCAATTCATATTAATTATTTGGAGATAAACGAAATATTGTAAAATAGGAAAGGAAATAATTCTCCAAGGAAAAAAAAATAAAATAAGAAAGGAAACAACTCTTAATCTCAGGAAATAATTTATAATATTTCTAATAATCAATTTATATTAATTATTTGGAGATAAACGAAATATCGTAAAATAGGAAAGCCTAAAGTAGGAAAGGAAATAACTCTCTATGGGAAAAAAAATAAAATAAGAAAGGAAATAACTCTTAATCTCAGGAACTAATTTATTTGTCATAACTTCTAATAGGAATAAATTATTTTCTAATATAATTTTTAATGGTAGTGGTTTTTATTTGTTTTTTTTAATGCCTTCATGAGTTCTTAGCTGAATAGCTTATGATATTGCTTTTATTGTTGTAATGTTCTTTGCTTCTACCAAAAATTGTGCCAGCACATTTTTCCTTGTTGACATCCTTGAACATTTGCCTAAACCAAGTAAAAAAGTATGCACTAAAATTACTCTTCATATTATCATTACTTTCATACATTCTTGTTGCATAGAGCTGTTCTAATCTTGAGAGTAGACTTTCTTGAAATATTAGATTTGACATTGTTCGATAGTGATATAATAAGTTTCCAATCAAGCTTCAATATAGTGAAAAATTGATTTTTTTTGAGCCATAAACTTTCTCTAGTTTCTAACTAGTAGGCAATGTTGCAAAAATAGCCCTACAATTTTATATTTATGTTGTGGCAAATATCCTACCATCTCAAACATCAAATCAGGATAATAGGCAAAAAAATTGTTTGTGTGGAATTACGCTCCTTATTATTATGTAATTCTATTTTG